TTAACCCCTTAACGCGCAGAAACGTATTAACACGGGCGTGCAAAACCGGCCAAAATGTGCAGACCCGTATATATACGGTCGGCGTCGCAACTTATGTTATGTTACCTATATTAATTGAAAAACAGTACGATGGGTACAAAATTCGATCTGCAATGCGATTCAATATTCACTATAATTATTTATCCACTATTTTTATTGAATTTTTAGTAATTTTTGCATTTTTTTTACATATTTATTGAAATTAAGGTCCAAATATGTATTTTCCTAGATAAAAAAAATTGATTCTTTTTGGTCGGTTTTTTTTTTAAATTGTGCATTAAGGGGTTAATTAGTTCCTGTATAAATAATTATTATATTGAAATATACACATATCGCGATCAATAGAGCGCGGATCTTCATAGAAAATAAAAGTTGTCGGCAGAGCTGAAGTTAAAATATAACTTGCGCGTCGAGTACTTGTGACAATACAGGACAACGTATGAAAACGAAAGAGTGAGTGATGCTTACATAACCGATCCTGTTTGGTGAAATCGCCGCTACTTCTTGCTTTAGTGACACTCTTTTCAGCAAGTCTGTGTTTTTACACTGTTCTCAAAATTCAGAACTTCATTCGTCATATTCAAACGAAGTTTTACTACTTCCAAATTAACTGTACTTTAAAATCGACTTGTATTTAGAAAAATCAAAAAAACTATTGCATTCGAAAACTTTAATTTTTCGTAGCAAGTCTTTGAATTTTACTTCTCTTTGCCAGTCTCTTGTGTTTATTATGTATTTGCATATTATGTAAAGACTCTGACTTTTCTTAAACATATTCCCATGCAGAAATTATAGTGAATATGTGATCACTCTACTGCAAATTTTTGTGTAAATTTACATTCTCGAGATTAGGAATCGTGAAGTATTTTCAGTACAAAATACGGACACAAAATTTGATCACCCAATCATATATTTTTTGTGTCCGTATTTTGTACTGAAAATACTTCACGATTCCTAATCTCGAGAATGTAAATTTACACAAAAATTTGCAGTACAGTAATCACATATTCACTATAATTTCTGCATGGGCATATGTTTAAGAAAAGTCAGAGTCTTTACATAATATACACATACATAATAAACACAAGAGACTGGCAAAGAGAAGTAAAATTCAAAGACTTGCTACGAAAAATTAAAGTTTTCGAATGCAATAGTTTTTTTGATTTTTCTAAATACAAGTCGATTTTAAAGTACAGTTAATTTGGAAGTAGTAAAACTTCGTTTGAATATGACGAATGAAGTTCTGAANACATTCTCGAGATTAGGAATCGTGAAGTATTTTCAGTACAAAATACGGACACAAAATTTGATCACCCAATCATATATTTTTTGTGTCCGTATTTTGTACTGAAAATACTTCACGATTCCTAATCTCGAGAATGTAAATTTACACAAAAATTTGCAGTACAGTAATCACATATTCACTATAATTTCTGCATGGGCATATGTTTAAGAAAAGTCAGAGTCTTTACATAATATACACATACATAATAAACACAAGAGACTGGCAAAGAGAAGTAAAATTCAAAGACATATATATATGTAGTACATACAAATATGTAAAATATACGCAGGCAAATATGGATACACGATAGAATCTGTGACAATAGAATTACAAATGAAAATCCGTAATCTGTCTCGATAACAATAGATTTCGGTTAACCAATAACGACGCCAGAACGGCGTTCAATAAAAACTCGTTCGTACCTATTTCGGATTTCAATTAGACCCGATACGATGGTAACGTGAACTTTACGTTCACTTCCATTCGCGATCGCAGAACCACGTAGGTTTAATCTACGAGTTCCGAGTTTATTGCCGCGTCGTACATGCCGTAATTTCGAATAATCTGTGACCGAAGTAGGTTACGCAGTTATTAAGATGGGGGAAAAAAAGGAGAGTTCCTTTCCCACGTATAATGGTATCCTCGCGGGAGCAATATATGGCACTGTTTCGAGGGTAATGACGGTGTTCTTTGAACTCGAAGAGAACAGGTAACAACGACTTTGCCCGCGCGCGTTGCCGTAAAATTGATAAACGCGATGGCACGTGGTCGCCGGGAACCGAAAGAAACTGGGCTGCGTTCGTTAATTGTAATTATCCAGTAATAACTTCTGCCAGATTTGTATGGGACAGCTACTTTCACTTGCACGGTTTTACACTGTCTCGTTGCTCCGAACGGCCATAAGTTATGAAATACGTAACATGCGTTGTGTTTTCCGTTGTCTAGAATACTTGAAAATTCGTCTTCGAAGGTTTCATTGGGAACCGTGTGCGATTCGGATACGATTTAAAACGAGAATATACACATTCGTCAGACGTCAAGCGAATCGATTTTACCAAAATAAGCGGCTTTATTTCTTAGTAGAACCATTATGAAATAGCATCCTGAAAAGGTGCATGTGTTTTGAATAATTTCGCAATAATCGGCAGAAATGTCGTCGAATATCGAAGACAATTTTGTCGACAGTTTTGCAAGGAGTATCGTCGAAATTATAAAAACTCATCCCCGTAAGAAATACCTGAATTTTCTTACTTCGAGCACGCGTTACGACAAAAAATGGCGCAAGGTCTAGATAAAATCAGTCTCGTCGTTCTTATAATGGAACACGTGCCAGTCACGTTTGATACCAAAAGGTTCACGTACAACCTAAAAGCACGAATGCAAGATATCGTGATATATTTATAGGTCCACGGTTCTCTCGTATCTTTCCAGTGTAACCGAAAAAGAATTTTCAATCCAATTACGACTTTCGTGTGTTACGCAAGACTCATATGTTGTTTTTCTTTTTGTTGCGTTACAGATGCGCCCAAAATTGCGACACTGCTGAAATCACGTCTGATCGAACGAGAGTCGTAAGTATATTTCATCAGAGACTTCTCTTTCAATGATCGACCCCTCAAATATGGAAGCCGATCGAGTGTAGAAGCCGGTCGGACAGTTAGACAGGTTCTCGTTACTCGCATTACCGCGAGAGAGGAATCGCGGATTCCGACTGAAAATCTCGCTCGCACTCATTGGCCATGACCTGCCTTCACCCACGCGCCCCGACAAAACACACCGAGACTGCTTTGCGCAGTACGCAACTACTTAAGCCCTATTAACCGTTGCGTCTGTTTGCAAATTAGGCGCGTAAGTCGTCGGAGACGTCTACGACGAACGGCTCGCAGATACACGCGTCGTTTCCATGTCGAAACGATGAAATTACCCGACGTACGTCGTCGATATCGCAGATTCGATCTCGATTTGATCCCTCGTGGCTCGGTGCAACTTCGAAGTCACGTAACTAATCACCGGTTTTTTTCGACCCAATTACATTTTTCGCCGCAACGCTGCGAATTCACGTTCACCGTTTTTACTCGCACGCTTCACACTTAATAAAAGCTGATTGCTAAACTGCGGATTTGATGCATTCGCGGCGAAAGAGCGGACAAGTAGAATACAGAGAGTACAGTGGGATCTTCGTAAAAATGCAATAATTTCGGTCCAATATTTATCGATTTATCGAGACATTTAAAAAGAAGAAGAAGCAAATTTTTATCTAATTTTCGTTTCGCACCTTCGTCGACGACAATTTTTAATTTACGTAACGGTCAACGATCCAGCGAATTACTGCCGGTAATACTACAATTTATCTGTCTTATGCGCATCGACGAACAGTATCGATGCTTATTTCTGATAAGATGAGAGTGCAATTTGCGTTGGAAATCTGTTCAGGCTTTCCTTGAGCAACGGTAACGTAACACAGATTATACGCCACGGAGTTCTACGAAATTGAGTATTAATTTGATCAAAAGAGTGACTCACCGGGCTATCCGATACGTTTACGTAATTCTATAACAGAGTACTCCACTAAATTCCGTCTCGTAGCGTTTTTTCCTAACCGACTACCGAGCAGTATCGAGCGTTTTAACGGCAGAAGAATTTTCTTCTTCGATGTTCGTCACAGCGATTATATCAATTATTGTCCGTTCGCATCGACAACAAGAGGACCTTTTTCCGCCGGCGGTCTTAGATTCTTCAGGACACGCGAACGGACGCGACGCAGAAGTGTACAAGTCCCGCGACTGCATGCGAGCGTGATTACGATCGATCAGGAGAGTTCAATGCTCGTACGTTCTCGCGAAAGCAGCGCGCGTGGAGCGGACGGGTGTGTGTTTCTCTCTTTTATCGGAAGACCGCGATGTGTGTATATGGAAATCACCCGGTGACGTCACGTAACACCGCGGAAACTATGGTAAATCGTGCAAACAACACGCCGAAAGTGGTCGGTCCCGCTCGTGTATCTACGTCTATCTATAGAACTACCGGGACAACGACGTTACAGCGGTCGAAAGTGACATTTAAAGACACGAAAAAGACCTCGTCTTCTCTTCGTCGTTGTATTTTCCACGGCCGCGAACCTGCGCTCGACCTCGGATTCCTCGGGGAAGGACCGTTAATTTTGGAGCAGATGGATTTGCTGTGTTGCTTTCGTTTAGATAAACACTTCGGTCGCGTAGTGAGTCACTTTTAGGCGATCTCAGATTCGGAGGGACCTCCTTTTGTTTTAAACAAGATGTGACGGTTTAGCGTTTTTCTATCAAACTGGAAGTTTGTCGCGATAATCTGAAAGTTTTTATATGTTTTTATTAGACCTTGTTTTCTTTATATTTTCTCCGCTATATTTTCTATTACAATTATCCAGTTTTCTAACTTTTTGAATCGTGGACTAGTATAATTAATTCTAACCTGAGCGTCTCAAATGAATGCCATTTATACATACATTTGTTAATTTACAGGATGTTTTATTTAAGTGAGTACAGTGGAATATCTCGGAAAGAATTGAAAGTTACAAAAATTATTATTCCTTACATTATTATTATTATACTATATTATATTATATTATTATTATTATTATTAAATTCTGAAGTTTGTTAAGAAGACCATTCTGAAGAGTAATGTTTTTTAAACAGCATCCAAGTATCTGAAAAAATTTACGAAACTCCATAATTCGAAGTCAATCTGCGATATCGTGTGCATTGTCAAAAGAGAATGATTTGAAACTGCTATTGTAGTAATTTGTCATGTTTTCTACAAATGAATGCAGTAAAACAAGGAGCATAAATGCATATTTAAAAATAAAAACAAAATATGTTTCTTCCGTACAGAATTGCTGACCGTAAAATTAAACTAATCAGAAACGAATGTCGCAAGAGACAATTCCGTGATTTGTAAAGTCTGTGGCTGAACGCTATTTGTGTCAATGTTGGCACAGTATGCAATTAGACGGCTATTTATAACGGCATCGTACTATGTTTGTCACAATTTCATGGCTATTTTCGTAGCGATGTAAATTTGTCTTTATATGAAACAGAGGAACAGGAATGACAGTATAGATAATTATCGAGATAAGTATCTACATGTTACGTCACGAACTTTTAATCGGGGACGCTGACGTAAATGAAAGTTGAAATTCTGATAGACTCGGTGTTGTAGACTCTCGAACGTTTCATGTCGTTTATTTGAAAACATCAATTTCGCCAGCAATTCTGAATATTTAAACAAGAATTCATTCAAATTTTGTTTCGCACATGAAGAACTGATGAGAAATCGAAATTTTGTAAAATATTCATTAACTTTTTAATTCGCGATTATTCGGATCGTAAAAATACATATGTACATTCCATGCCGTTATTATCGTCTACTTAATTAGCTCGTTGCAAATGAATTCTTGGTCTTCATTCATCAATTCGCTATTTATTTACGAACAATCCGAATACTTTTGGGAATCGTTTCTACTGTCTTCGTCTTGTAGCTAATTAATGAATCCCCTCTGAAAAGAATGATGATAATTTCTATGGAACATCAAATTTTTGGCATTGTCAGATGTTATTTATTACAATATTCAAACTGTCCATTTTAATTGAAGGGAATTAAATTTTCAATTTCAAGAACATAATTTCAATTGAAATACGAGAAGGTGTATTATCACCGTTATACAATTATGTACCTATTGTACTCTTTATTATTTTGGAGGTTCAGAACCTACTATGACGAATAAAAGGTTATTCTAAGTGACAATTGACTAATAGTTCGTTTCACGAATCAGCTTGTCCGCGTAGCGATAATTTTAGAAAGCGTCACATATCGGTTTACTACATCTCCGGACCATTTGTTTCTCTTTTCCAGATAAATCAGATCAAAAGATGCAGACAGCACCGACCGTGCTGTCGTTGCTCCTCGTCGTCCTGAGCTTCTCAGGCAGGACCAACGGCCTGTGCAACTTGGAGAACGGAACAGTGGCACGGTGCCAGGACCTCACCGACGCCAAGTACATCCAGACCTATCATCTCGAGACCCTGAAGGCTCCGGTGTTGGAGGCGGAGCTTCACCCGGGTCTCTTCGGCAACCTGACGAGCCTGCGACACTTGGACCTGTCCGGAGGAAACCTGAAACGAGTCCAGTCAGGATGCTTCCGCAAGCTGGCCAACCTGAGAAGCTTGAACCTAGCCGAGAATCACATCGCGAACTTGGACTCCGGCGCCATTCAAGGACTGAGCCACCTGCACAGCCTGAACCTTCGCAAGAACAAGCTTCGCCATTTGCCACCGGTCATCACAGAGCTGAAGTTCCTTAAACACCTGGACGTGCAGAGCAATCCGCTGCAATGCGACTGCGCGACGCTTCTCGTCAGAGACCTGATCATGAAGAAGGGCGTAAAGATCTCGAAGAAGGTGCTCTGCGCCGGCCCGAGAAACATGAAGGGGACGCCGCTGTTCAAACCCGACGCGGCTGTCACCTGCAACATGGAGCAACTGGACCTTGAGATGCAGAACGACCAGCCTGTCGAGGAGTACGAGGAAGATTACGAAGGATCGGGCACCAACGGCGACGACGACTCGTTCATCGACGTTCCCAATTTAAACCAGGAGCCTACCCAGCCACCGGAAATCGAGACGCCAGCCCCGGAGGTAGCCTGCCTACCCGGAGACGCCGACTGTCCGGAAAAGAACTCCAAAGAGGAGGAGATATTCCTCGATTCCGGCGAGAAGAAATCCACAACAGCCGTTCCGACAACAGAGAGGAAGAAGGTGTTCACGGATGCCCTGTTCGTGCCAGTTGAGGGCTCCGGGGCCGACGAAGAGGGCTCGGGAGAAGGTTCGGGAACAGCGACGATCTTCGACGGTTGGGACAAGGCCAAGGAGACGGACGAAGAAGACACCCGTGTCGAGGAAGAGTCCCAATCTCTAGGCGACAAGCTGCTGGACACGTTCTTCAACGTCTTTCTGAGCACGACCGCGGCGCCGGAGACGAAGAAGGACCTGGACCTGGAGGAGGAACAGTTTATCCACATGCCGAGCAAATTCCCCGGGGAAGAGGAGACCTCGGAGATCGTCGACGACGAGCTGACGTCGACCACCAGCAAAGCCAGCACCGAAACGAGCCCGAAGTCGGTCTCGACGACCGATTACAGCGGCGTCGAGGTGTTCGACAGCGATCTACAGAACTCGACGCGGACTGGCCAGGCGATGGTCGAGGACGAGACGACGGGCGACGGGCTGGCCGAAGTGTCCCCGGCGAAGCAGTCCAAGAAAGGGATGGGCTCTTACGTGGTGTTGGCCACGCTGCTGGCGATCCTGGCGAGTCTGATCATGTTCGCCGCCTACAAAGGCGACTTCTGCCGCAAGAAGAGGAAACGCGGCGACGTGGAGAACGGCACCGAGATGAAGGACATGCAGAAGTCCCTGCTGGAGGGGAGCACGACGCATCCGAAGGTCGTGACCAACGGGAACGTGGAGAACGTGCCGCTGGTCGAGGACACGGCCGATCACGAGGACGCCAAAGCGTCCGGCGAGCATCAGGAGCCGGTCAGGTCGCGAAACGGCACCTCGGACCGCGTCGACCCGGTGAAACCGCCGAGACGGAGCTCGGACAGGTCCAGCTCGGACGGCAACACGTCGAGGAACGACTCGCTGCCCGCGAGAACGAGTCCCGTCGACGTCACCGTGAACAACGCCCCGGCAACAACGCTGCCGGCGAACTGTCCGCCTCTGAGCCCCGGCGCTCAAAGAGTGAAGATCACCCTACAGGAGAACCCGGACAGCGTGCCGAAGACGCCCATACTCATCACGAGAACGATGGCTGGTGATAATCTAGTCAAATCGCCATGAAACCGCTGACCTCGTGGTCACCGATGAACGACAACGAGACATTTGGTCCAATAACGATCGATCGAACCGACAACAACGAGACACGAATGGACGAGACAGAGAGGCAGCCGGTAGGGAAGGGGGGGATCGCGTGTTACAATTTTTCGAGATTGACTAATTCCAGTGACGCCAGTGTTCCTAGGCCCGTGTATCACGGCCTGACAAAGTGATACGTGGACTTCTATAGACGACGGACACAGCGTTCGACGACGGACACGATCGAACGGCGCAACATAGTCGAGCTTAGGTAGGAGGAGGAGGAGAGCCGATGTCGTGGTGGTACTCGATTCCGTGAAATGAGATTGTTTTGTACATATCCCCCGCAGATTGTATATGTGTATGCACACATAACATTGTTGTTTGTACAAGATTTACGGATAGAGGAACGATTTGATACATTTTCTATACGCGTATACAATATTAGCACACTAGTCAGTCCCCATTAAGGATTTTCCTTCTCGTGCAGGCTTGAATGGGATTCAAGTATCGCCAAGTTCCATTTTAGATTGCTCCGATAACAAGAAGCGTATCGTTACCTAGACCCTCGGCGTTCTTGTAATAACGAAATACCCATTTGCAAGTAATGCCGCAGTTATCTCGTTTTTAATGTTAACGTTAGAAAGGCACGGTCCGGGAAACGTTTGTTCCGCGCAGCGTTATTCCCACGATCCGACGACGACGCGTCGTCGTCGGATCGTCGGAGGATCGTGTTTGAACGATGCTCGGACCGTGGAGAATGAATTTTTAGAATGGCCATGGTTTAACGCGGCGATGCAATTCGTTGCGGATGATAATATATCGTGTATATTTATGTTATACTCAAACTGCCTCATGTCCCACTGCATTCTCGTGAATAGACTGCGGATATTATGCATCGACGAGGTTCGAACGTGGACCCGCATCCGCATAAACAGCCGCAGTCTAGTCGTCAATTACCGATTGGTAATTCAATTACTTATGTATTTTAAAAGAGACGTTCGAAAGACTACCGGGTGTGTCTAATCATTGAGCGTCGGATTATTCGAATTGTTACGTGACTCGTAGATTTTTACGAAATTTTTTTTTTAGTTCCACCGTATGTAAATGTACGCGGTGAAATGAGAGCGAAAGTTTTGCTGTTGCTACTTATGGGGGTGGATCGCGAACGGCGCGATTCGATTGCTGCTACGCGGCCTTTTTGGAACAGTTGCGAACAATGGACGTGTTCTTTGTCGAGCCCTGAAACATCGGTGTCACCGATGCTTCCGATCGGACAAAATATATCCGCGTTATTTCCAGCCGTTTCGCGACGCTTCGCAGCTTCGCTCGAGCCGAAAGCTGCTCGCGATTCTTTCCCGATAGTGATTAACTGGAGGATTAATTTATAGAAAATTTCTGTCGCATGAATTTACAACGAGCATTCCAAGTCGATCGTATTACAGTGTCCAGTAATCGATTCGATCGTTTTATCTCCCATGATATAATGAACGTTCTGTGTAAACGAGGCCAGAGTTTTGTAGGTCGGTACTGTGACGTTCGAATAACGCATTATCGATTATCATTGAAACATATCAGAAACATCGAAGTCTGCGTAATTACGAACGTAATTACGTGATCGCAAATACAAGTTTACGCGAAAACGAGGAAACAATATTGTAATTCGATGCGTTAATCTATTACTAGCGTTTTAAGCGACAATAGATGGGAGAGTAATTAAGAAATGTTTACAGTAATAAGTAGCCTTAAACGATTAAACTGTTTAACGAGAGAAAGTTTATAAATATAAATGTTACATATTGTTCGAATATTTGTTAAGAAGCGTTGAAAGTAATGGGAGTCGTTTCGAAAATTAAAAGCAAACGTCAGAGTAGATATTAATATATATATATATACATATACATATATAATAATCTCAATAATGTAGCGTCGATTTTCAAACGTTTTCGAGACAATGATATTGGGTCATCGGTAGTGCAAAAATTGATTCCCCCCAATTTTAAGAACAACTATTCTCATCACTTTCATTAACTTCATTTTCTTCATACCAAATTTTTGTATGTTTTCTTGAACCAAATGCGCGAAGTATTAGAACGATTAACGATTTAAATGTAAACAATCGGGAGAGCTTCCCGGTGAAAGTATAAATAGGTGGTTGCTCGTGAAATTAATCCAGCTAATTAGCGGCGAACGAAATCATTTCATTGCTGTTGCCAGTGTTCCAGCGGCGTTTCAACATCATCGACACGTTATCGTTATTGTCGCGATTTTTAATTGTTCCGCGTATGAACCGACCGCGCAAGAAGATACACATTGTTACGAATAAATACCCGAAAACGCAGTCAACATGAACGTATAAATATATTTTGCAAGTGTTTATAATTTTAACTATGAATGCGAAATAAAATAACAATATTTATCATAAATCTTTTACTGTTACAACGATTCTCATCAATGTCTTCAAATGTTGTGTCACCGTTTGATCCTTGTAAGACGAACAATTATGTACTTAAAAACTTTTGTATTGTCTGTATAAAACGTTAATGACAAAAGTCGTAATGCCATAACAGCGTAATTAGGGACAACTTTGCAATAGGTTAAAAGGTAAATATTTACTGATCTTCATTCACGACGAGAGTATAACAAAACTGTATGAAGTATATTTAGAAATCGTTAAAGATAAAGTTGTTCAGTTTAAATAAATATTTCGACGAGTTTAATTGTAGCTCACACCTGCAAAAGTTCAACAACACACATTCAAATTAGTTAAGTTCAGTTTGGACTGGCATGATCGTGGTAAGATAATAGAACAAGAAAACTTAAATATGATATCGTTTATTGCAAAAGATTATGGAATATTGCTTCGACGAAGATTGGATTATAAATATTTTTAATGTGGATATTTTATTTCCCGTGGAATATTGAGCGTCATTAGGAAATTAATTGACATGAATTCTTAAATTGTATTCTTCGAGAATTTACGGATTGCGTTTAACTGCCTGAAACCTGAAGGAACAATTTGCATAATGCTCGATGCCCACCTAAATACAAAATGAGACATTTGGACTGCGGATCATCGTGCAGAATTTTTTTCTCGAGTGGATTTAATAAGCTAAAATTAATGTTGTCGTCATCCTTGAACGTACTTACATGTTAAAAGTGATCAACGCGCGTTGCTTTATAAGCATAACAAAACTGGAATTTATTTACACTTTTAAAATTTTTATTACAATGCAAGCTTGAATGAAGAAATCTATTCGTTCGAATTTTAATAATTTCATAATTTCAACAATTTGAAAAGAGAAAATATGAAAATCGGTCATTGATGGTGCGTTTAGTGTTTAAATGGCGCCATCACATTTTTAAATATATAAAATCCATAAGTCTTAAATGCATAAAATCCGCAGTCTATTAATGCCAGTTATTTCCACGTAAACTGAGAATCTAACAATACGGTATGTTGCGAAACCTCGTCTAACGTTTATTTGATCGCGACGACGAGTGATTTATGCGTTTGAGTCGAGAGACTCAATTACAATTTTCTTTACCCCATATATTGCGTTAAATGATACATCGATACGATCAAGTAATTGCTATCTGCGCGAAACTGACGCTAATAGTTCCCAGGTCGGCGTGAAATTACTGTACTTTCCTGCTGTGCGCTATTCGCGATACTAAATCCCAAGCCTATTGAAATTTCTTTGTCGGATTAGAGCGCACTGCTATTCCTTGTTAAACCATTTAATCGACCTGTACATACATATATACGTACGTGTATATATAATCTATGTACACAGAATCGAAATTGTTTCAATGAGAAAGAGATTATAATTTCTCAGTAATTATAAGAGCAATTAAACATCGCAGCTAAACATTTTACACTTGGTGAAACAAGCTATGAAAAAACTTGAAGAGAAATTATATAATAAATAAATTCTATGGAATTAGAAATTCGCAGCGAAGAATAAAATATCGGTACAATAAATGAACAATGAAGGTATGTATGTTATATTACGTCTTCATTTCTATACATTTTATTTGATAGCTTTGCTATTTATATTAATGAGTTGTTCGCATAACATATTTGTTAAGTGATTCACTAATCAATCTAGCGTACTTGTTGATTACATTGTTCGCAGTTTCATCGAACTTAATATGCTCCGGTGATAACGGATAAAATATTTTGAAGTCCTAAACTTATCCATAGAAAATTATAAAATCAGATAACAATGGGATGGCATGAAATATCAAGTTTTATTGAATCAATGTAAATGTCACACGATCGATGAAACGAAAGTCAAACACGTTTTGCGGTTGCAGTTCGTTTAAATATAAAAATATGTCATGCTTCTAAGTTAATTTAAAATATAAATGTTGTGAAATCTATATATATAATCTTCCAAAGTGTTTTATGTAATAGCATTTTCTTCGATTTGATTAATTGATCGGTTAGCTTCCGTTGATATCGATTTGCAATCTAAAGATTCACTTGACATATCAGAATCACGAGAATCGGTGAGCGTATAAGATTTCAAAAATTTCCGTCGACATCGTCGATATGGCACGCCTTGTAAACTAAGTGTTCCTGATAGTGCACTGGATAGTGCTTAATCATGATCGTGACTCCTCGCACAGAGTAAATCAGAGGCCATTAGTACTTAATTATTTCTCGAATTATAACTGTCGCGAAGCAATTATCTGCCAATCAAAGCGATCGAGGCAAACAAATTACACCGCGAAAAAATAACCAACTCGTATTCAATAAGTCAATATGAGTCAATATCAGTTCCGCAATGAAACGAAAGGCTCGTTTTCTTTATCTGCAAATTATGGCAATCTCTGCAGAAGCGAATTCATCACATTTGAAAGTCAAGATAAAGTGATTTATCATAATCTTGACTAGATAAATCAAATTGTGCGAGAATTATACCTCCTACCATCAAATACGCATAATTCGATCGAATCGATATATTTCATGCTTGCGTGATCTATAACTCGATGAACTTTAATTAAATAGACGGCGGATGTTTATGATATAAATCAAAATTGTTTACGTTGATTGCACGATGCAGAAGGCTACGTAGACATTCATTTTCCTTTTTAACGATTTTAGTGAATTGAATGTAAAATACAGCAGTGTCTTTAAATTGCACAGAAAATAATGAAAAATAATTTACTATTGTTCCAATTTGCTGTATACAAGGAAGCTCGCACATAATCGTGTAATTATTGCATCAAAGCACATGGAAATATCATTGTCCTTAGCATAATTCCATAGTAAAAAATTTTTGTGGCTGACAAATATTGAATTATACTTTCCGTATGGTACATCAAGATTTGTTCATTTCCAACGCAAATCCGAAACGGAAGATACTCATATTTATCCAGCAGTTATTTCTCAGTTGTGACCGCAGATCTGTATGCAAGATCAAAATCTCCGAAGACGATCCTAAGAAATAGAAAATCAAAATAAATCGTTCCCTTCAGCCGTTTTGAGACGTTGAAAATAATGCAACGATATCATTAAATTCGCTTCACGTCTTTTCACAACTTCATATTTCAGCCAATCATTTTTGCGATAAGCGCACAAAATCCGCAGTCTGTTCATCGAGTAACATCTCGCTCATAAGTTCGGCTTTGCTTCAAAAAAAAAAAAAGAAAAAATATTAAGAGAAGCGTCGATGATCGGCTGATATCCGAAAAACTGGCGAGGTCATTCGATGATCATTAAGAATCCATCTACAACGCGGAAACGCTCCAAAAAAGGTGCACTTAAACTCGATACACAGACAAAAGATGAAGCCAGCCTCGCAACCAGATAATTAAGCACCCGTCGATAAAGTAAATCGTTAATTGAAACAAGATTGTCTTTCGAAGCACTTTTAACGGCAAGCTTCTCCGTGCCGATCTTCCATCCTTGATCCCGCGCTCCTTCTATCAGGCGTGTTTCCGCGGGCAAAAAAAGAAGATTACGAATGTATTGAAGAAACATCGCCGCGTTACGCGCGCGAGCGCAGAGATAATGAAATGCTAATAAGCATTGAGAGCGTTCTCTCGCATTTTATTAACTAGCTCCGCCGAGACCGTGATCAGAGACGATCCGATTCAACATCCGCGGAGGAATCTCTGTAGCCGCTCTTCGGCTCCTTTCGCAGCTCCCTGATGACGATGGACCTGGACAAGTGAATACGCTGTATGTCCGAGTCCTCGTCATCCGTCGAGTGGCCGTCGTAAACCGTGCGTCTTCGCCTCTTTTTCCTCGCGCTGGGCGTTTGCGGCCTAGTCCGGAGTCTTCCGCTTCCGGACTCGACGCTGTCGCTGATCACGCTGTGTCTTCTGGATCTGTTCGCCGACGAAGGCCTGGAAGTCCGCTGGCTATCAGCCGCTGGTAACTCCGGCCTGCCGTTACCGACGGCCCTCTTCAATCGCTCGATCCGGCGCTCTTCCCTTCGGAGCAAGTCGTCCTCGCTTTGGATACGCTTCTTCAACCTTCTCGTCCGCTTCTGTCTGATCCTCAAATTGTCCGCGGAGCCGGCGATCCGGGTGGTCGATCTGTCCACTGAAATCTCGTCCAGGTTGCCCAAGGAACGAGCCATCCTCGGCATTTGTATCGCCTCCTCGTAACTAGGCGGCCCAATCAACTCCATGGGGTTGATTCTGGGATCTGCGCGCTCCACGCGCTCGATGCTCTCTTCCTCGTGCGCGATGCGGGTTCTGTGTGTGGAAACGATGATCAGAGTTGGTTGGAAATGGTATAAAGATGATGTCCACGGCATTTGAAATGAAATCACGGATCTTTGCGCGTTCGTGGTTGATTCGAATTTTGTAAAATATAACACAGACTTCGCGTTACCGACTGATAGTAACGTTTTGGTTATCGTTTTGCTACAGCGAAGTGTTTCTCTAATTTCAATTTTTTTTGGAATGAAGCGAACATGTGCCACTGCATAAAGAACCGCGGAGTGATAGTGGGGAGTAAGAACAAAGGGAAAATTTGATGAAATTTCTGATGACTGCGTTGAAAATTAAGCGACCTAAAAACTGATAAAAATTGTTTATATAGAAAAGATGATGAGAAATTTAGTTAATTGCACAAATTTGGAAAATATTGTTGCTTCTATAGTTTAGCAGCGAGTTGTAACATTTTTGTAATGTTGTCATATGTTTTCGAAATTCTGCGTGGATTTAAAGCAATATTTACACTTTATATTTCGTTTTTTAATATGATTTCAGTTAATAATCCCTGCAGTCGATGTGAAGCATAAATACTCGTGTGGTATTGAGTTCATTCTCTTCTTCTGTGATAAAGTAAATTACTGACTTGATCTCGGCAGGTAATATTGCACATTATGATTATTAACGTGAATCGAATGTTTAATGACGTTTGAAAGTGCTACCCTAATTAAAATTATAATGTTACAAGTATTTATTATAGGACGATATTATTTCATATTCTCGGAGTGAAGAGTGAATTTATTGATTCAGCTGACACTTGTATTGATTTTGTTGTTATATTTCGTCTAAAATTATAACTATTTATTTTTATGAAAATGAATCTCGCCTATGTTCACGATGAACTATATATATATATAAGAATGCAAGGTATAACAAATTCAATTCATGAATTGAATGATAGCTGAGAAAATCTAAAGTTGAGGAATTAGCGAATTTTGTATCGTAATCTAAAAAATTTCACTTCTTTGCTTATATATATAAACTTNTGACATCTCCTTCATATAGACACTAAACAAAGTTAAATTTTTTTTTATTATTATCCCAGGGTTGTTTTAAGCATCTATTATTGATAGTTAAAGCACTCGATCAAACTATCGATTATACTGCGGATCTTTATTGTCTTTATTCCCATTTTCAATTCTTTTTTTCATTTTACAAAAATTATAACTAAAGAAAAGTTTGCTTCGCCAACTAAAAATTCACTCCTTGCAAAATAAAAATAAGAATGCTGTTGGACCTTGTTGAATTCACAAGCTTTGTTTGAAAAAATGCAAAATGATCCGCTGTCTAATGATAGCATTTCAGGAACAAATGAAATTGAAATGTTCGAGAAAAATGAAATTGTTTTGGGAGACAAGATTCATGCAGATGAAATTCTTATTCTCACCGTCGCCGCAGCGGTCTCATCGATTCCTCTTGGAGCCTTTGCTCTATTGCCCTTCTTTTTATGCGCATCATGTGTCGAATAGTGACGAAACTTCCGAACAGTACGATGATAGCAAGAAGGGTGACCATCACAAAGCCCCAGGTTCTGTCTCGACTATGGTAAACCGATCCGTGCCACAAATCGTAGCAGGCAGACTCCCAAGTATATCCGGAAACGTTCGAAGGGCTCTGGCAGAGTAAATTCGACTCGGATGTTTTGGCAGGTGGCAGTGTTAAAAAGCTGTATAGAACGAACAATTCTTTGCAGTCGCAACGCCACGGATTGTCGTCCAACTTGATGATGTTCAGCTCCGCGTTGTTCCGAAAAATTGCAGGATCCAAAGCTTCGGTCAAACGGTTACCTGCGAGTTCACATATTAATGATTACTTAGTTATATTATTCTTAATTAGTGAATTACACGATTACTGAATTACGTAATCACTAAATTACATAGTTACTGAAGTACATAATTACGGAATTACATAATTACTAAATTACATAATTATTTAATTACATAATTACTTAAATACATAATTCTTAATTGTTTTAATTACACAATAGATTAGCAACTTAATTACTTTACAGATTAGCGTTGTGTGAATTTGTGTTTCACGGTTAGGTTTAATTTTCTATGAATCGATTAAAAGTTGTACTTGCTCGGGATTATTTTCTTGAGAACTGTTACGAAATTGTGATATTAAGCTGAAAAGTGATTATCAACTAAAAATTACTCACTCGAGAATCTAAATGTCTGTACGTGATATTGTTGGCAAGTTTCACAGAGAAAAATCCTAATCTATTCCTCGTATCAATTTCACACATTTTTCACTGACACCGAGTCAATACATAGTATGTGTTTACCTAACAATACGAATAGTCTCATTTTAAATCTATCACACCTGAAATTTTTTCATTTCTCATTTCGGAAGGATGCATCGATTATGTTAATTATTTATCTTGTTATCGAATTATACTATTATTCTGTTATTTTATTTATCATTTCACGTTGATAGAAATGCATAAAAAGATTTTCCCTATTCATTCTAAAAGATCCTCACGCCGGTTTAAAACATACGATGTATTTAGAACGCTATTTTATATTAAAAATAGATCAAGTATTATTATTCTTATTTTAAAAAAAAAGATTACAACAGAATCGCAAAAGGATAAAACACTTAGCAAGTTCTAAACCATAAAACGAATATTCACTCGGAAATCAGCATGAAGAAATTGCACAGCTTGGATTACGACGAAATATAACTGTTTAATTAATTACCTGACAGATCCACTCGTATGAGTTGCGGTAATTGCTCGAAGGTGTCATTATTCAATTGCACGAGCCGGTTCCTTTTTAGATCCAGGTTCCTCAGCGAGATGGATCTGATGTTGCTCGGTATCGTTTCCAATTTGTTATCGCTCAGTACGACGCTCCGAATCTTCGGCATGNTCAATGATTATATAAATATTTAAGATTATTTAATCAGTGTACAGTTATCATCAATCGAAAGTTAAGTGATTATTGCTGCGACTAAACGATACGATTATGACATCTCCTTCATATAGACACTAAACAAAGTTAAATTTTTTTTTATTATTATCCCAGGGTTGTTTTAAGCATCTATTATTGATAGTTAAAGCACTCGATCAAACTATCGATTATACTGCGGATCTTTATTGTCTTTATTCCCATTTTCAATTCTTTTTTTCATTTTACAAAAATTATAACTAAAGAAAAGTTTGCTTCGCCAACTAAAAATTCACTCCTTGCAAAATAAAAATAAGAATGCTGTTGGACCTTGTTGAATTCACAAGCTTTGTTTGAAAAAATGCAAAATGATCCGCTGTCTAATGATAGCATTTCAGGAACAAATGAAATTGAAATGTTCGAGAAAAATGAAATTGTTTTGGGAGACAAGATTCATGCAGATGAAATTCTTATTCTCACCGTCGCCGCAGCGGTCTCATCGATTCCTCTTGGAGCCTTTGCTCTATTGCCCTTCTTTTTATGCGCATCATGTGTCGAATAGTGACGAAACTTCCGAACAGTACGATGATAGCAAGAAGGGTGACCATCACAAAGCCCCAGGTTCTGTCTCGACTATGGTAAACCGATCCGTGCCACAAATCGTAGCAGGCAGACTCCCAAGTATATCCGGAAACGTTCGAAGGGCTCTGGCAGAGTAAATTCGACTCGGATGTTTTGGCAGGTGGCAGTGTTAAAAAGCTGTATAGAACGAACAATTCTTTGCAGTCGCAACGCCACGGATTGTCGTCCAACTTGATGATGTTCAGCTCCGCGTTGTTCCGAAAAATTGCAGGATCCAAAGCTTCGGTCAAACGGTTACCTGCGAGTTCACATATTAATGATTACTTAGTTATATTATTCTTAATTAGTGAATTACACGATTACTGAATTACGTAATCACTAAATTACATAGTTACTGAAGTACATAATTACGGAATTACATAATTACTAAATTACATAATTATTTAATTACATAATTACTTAAATACATAATTCTTAATTGTTTTAATTACACAATAGATTAGCAACTTAATTACTTTACAGATTAGCGTTGTGTGAATTTGTGTTTCACGGTTAGGTTTAATTTTCTATGAATCGATTAAAAGTTGTACTTGCTCGGGATTATTTTCTTGAGAACTGTTACGAAATTGTGATATTAAGCTGAAAAGTGATTATCAACTAAAAATTACTCACTCGAGAATCTAAATGTCTGTACGTGATATTGTTGGCAAGTTTCACAGAGAAAAATCCTAATCTATTCCTCGTATCAATTTCACACATTTTTCACTGACACCGAGTCAATACATAGTATGTGTTTACCTAACAATACGAATAGTCTCATTTTAAATCTATCACACCTGAAATTTTTTCATTTCTCATTTCGGAAGGATGCATCGATTATGTTAATTATTTATCTTGTTATCGAATTATACTATTATTCTGTTATTTTATTTATCATTTCACGTTGATAGAAATGCATAAAAAGATTTTCCCTATTCATTCTAAAAGATCCTCACGCCGGTTTAAAACATACGATGTATTTAGAACGCTATTTTATATTAAAAATAGATCAAGTATTATTATTCTTATTTTAAAAAAAAAGATTACAACAGAATCGCAAAAGGATAAAACACTTAGCAAGTTCTAAACCATAAAACGAATATTCACTCGGAAATCAGCATGAAGAAATTGCACAGCTTGGATTACGACGAAATATAACTGTTTAATTAATTACCTGACAGATCCACTCGTATGAGTTGCGGTAATTGCTCGAAGGTGTCATTATTCAATTGCACGAGCCGGTTCCTTTTTAGATCCAGGTTCCTCAGCGAGATGGATCTGATGTTGCTCGGTATCGTTTCCAATTTGTTATCGCTCAGTACGACGCTCCGAATCTTCGGCATGTCCGTCAGGAAGTTTTCGTCCAGCTTTCCAATTGCATTCGACGATATGTCCAGATGCATGATCCCTGACACGAGCTTCGGGACTTCGTACAGGATGTTATAGGACAGGTTGAGCTGCTTCAGCTCGACGTTATCGTGGAACGTCATCGGGTGAACCTCTCTGAGATTATTCTCGGACAGGTCCAGCACCTGAAGCTTCACCAAACCATCGAAGGTGCTGGAGTTTAAGTTTTCCACGCCGTTCCCGTTCAGGTATAAAAAACCAAGCTCCCGGTTCTTCGCGAAAATACGATCCGGCAATAAATTGATCATGTTACCGGTTAATCGGGCATGCGTCAACGACGGAAATCCGTGCAGGCCTGGCCTGTCCAGATTGCATCTTGACGCGATAAGTTTCTTCAGCTTGTCGTGGGTCAATGTTGAGTTTCTGAAAATGGATCGATCGAATAATGCTATACCTTCGTTTATTCAATTTCCGTCGGTCGTTATATTAGACTAACGATTTGATGCATTTATGGCAAGAGCGAATAAGAAACACTGTGGAGACCTTAAAGAATTTACGGGCGGCGATACATTATTTCCGATTAGTTGAACTTATCAACAGAAGAAATACATTTTTATTTGACTTTTGTTAAATACTTAAAACATTTAAATAATATTTAAAATAATATTTTTATTTCTTTTTCTTTTAAATAATATTTAAAATAAATAAAATATTTTGTTAAATATTTTTATTCTACACAGTGTATTAATTCTATATATACTGTATATTATATATGTATATATATATATACTGCAATACTTCCATTGATCAATATATTCTTCAAATACTATAAACGTTTAAAATAATTTGGAAAATGCTACGATACTGTTAATACTTGGATTTATTTATGCTTAATATACAGTTTCCGTAAATATGTTTAACAGTAATTTTAACTCGAGTCTGCTGTAGCAAGTTATCAAAAAGGAAGTGTCGACTACAAATAGCAAATGCATCGAAACAGAATTGCGACAGTACTTATGTTTCTACCCTAAGATATCTCATTGTTGTTTCCTCTTTCGAAGTATAAACCAATACAAATTGCATGAAACACTTAATAATAAAAAATTGTCTACTTAGTGTGTCTATTACCTTGTGCTATAGACTAATTTCGGATTGTTGGACATTCGAAGCTCTTGAAGTTTTGGAAATCCGTTGAAAGTATAGGGACTCAAATAATTCAACTGGCAGTCTGACAGATCGAGCCAGCCTAGGTTAGGACTCGATGCTTCCTGAATGAATTTCAAAGGGTTTCCTGCCAAGCTTAGCGAAATTACTGCTTGTAGATCGACCAGAGAAAACTTGCTTAGTTGCTGTATTTCTGTGAAACACAAAAAACGTTTTCCAAATTAGTCATTCTACTAGCAAATCCGCTCCTGTATTCTATCATTGAAAACATAATTATTGGAATAACAAAGTATTTGCAATTTTGTTAAGCTGCAGCAGAAATATCTTTTATCATACACTACGAAACTGTGATAAATAATATCGCGGAAGAAAATTATTGAAGGAAATTCTTCAACACTCAGGAAAACATATGTGAACACATAAAAATCAATATTCTCCGAGTACGAAGGATTAAAAGAGCAGTTATTCTGTAAATGAAATTCTGCTTTCAGAACAAAATGCAAAGAACGAGTCGTGATCGATTGTTTATGATTTCGTATATAATATAATATTGTTATACATTAATACGTATTAATGCTTTTATATAATAGTATCGTATAATAACACTAATACTAATATTAATATTATATATAATATATAACATATAATATTAATATAATTATATATCAATACATATTAATGTATTATATCATAATAATTATATATTATTATTACATATGATTACAATATACTATTATATCATCATGTAATAACATTATATTTTACACGAGACTACATAAGGCTTAACAATACATCACGTTTCGTTATTATTATTATAATATAATAAATGTAAGTCTTGTCAGTCTAATCGTACCGCATTGACTAACGTCTAGAACCTGGACGTTGAGGTTTATTAATCCCTCTAAACTCTCGATCGGATTCCTGGCCAAGTACAGGTACATCAGAGACGTCAGTTGCTTCACGGAGCTAATATCACCGATACTGTGTATTCTGTTCCCAGTGAGGTCGAACTTCTTTAACTTGGTCAGGCCGCTGATGTCGCTGGGCAGCGAGCTCAACTGGTTTCTCGCTAAGTTCAGGTACTGTAGATCTATCAGTCGATTAATATCATTGGTTACGTGCGTCAACAGGTTGTTCGATAAATTTAATTCCTCCACCTAGAATGCGACCAACGAACAAACACATTCAGCGAGGGGCATTACACCGCGATAGGTTCGCGCAGCCACGAGTCGCGGCGTCAACGTTGGTCCGTTCCGCGAATTATCCAACTCTATAATATACATACATTATCTCTATTGTAGAAAGAAAAAAAGAAACTCGAGCTCTCGTTTGTATCGCGTGAATCGCGGCGTTATCTGTTAGATACTGCTGTCCGTCTTCGCCAGCACATTTGTACAGGTGACTCATTGTCGGTGCTGGCTAGATTTTCAATAATCGGCCCGATAAAGCGCGGAAACTGTGCGCCGGAAACGCAGACCGCGGCTCTCGCGCCACGTGAAAGGAACTGCGCTCTTTCAACGGTACTCACTAAGTCGCTAATATTCTCCGGGAACGTTGCCAGATTTCGCTTCGAGCACATGACAGTTCGCGGCTGTAGGCTGTACTGGCACACGCAGTTCGAGGGACAAACGCTTTGGCAGACCGAGCCCGACAGGATCCCGAAGAGCACCGCCAGCAAAGGAAGCGAGACACCGAGTGCCGTTGCTCGTTTCGCCATGTTCTCTTCTGCTATCCAACACCTTGATATCCATGGAATTCACATTTTCATTGGACGAAACGTAGCGACGCGCCAACGTCTGTTTCAGGAGGAAAGATCGCCGCGCGAAATGGATCGGTTCATTTCATCACCGTGACTTTTGCGCGCGTGTACAACGATGATTTCGATGCGGAAGGCGAACGGTTGAAACGAAACGCGCGCGGATCAATCAGCGGGCCAACAGTACTCCGAACCGTCCTGAAAACTACTGAGTACTTATCTGTGATAAGTAACGTAGGATATGTGCCCCGCGATATCTTCGTAAGATAACTCGGAGCATGCGGAGAGAGGTGTCGAGAACATTATTCCCCGTTGTGGACGAAAAAAAACGGAGTTGATATAACGGCGGATGCACCTGTAAATTCTGGAGAATCGACGAAGCCACGCCGCTCGCAGATCACCCCAAAATCAATTATGATTTTTTATTAACATTTGTCATTTTGATAAACTCGTTCCCAGCGAACGATTTTCGTAGATAAAATTTCGTTTTAGTCGGAGTCACTTTTCTGTGGCGATTTTGTAGGTTACATTTGTGACAAGAATTTTAACAGTTTGACAGTGTGAAACGAAATTTTCGAATGTCTCGATTGAGATCATTGATTTTTGTGGCACGAGGCGCGGTATTTTAACTTTCGGTATTTCGTGTTCCATCGTTGGTCGATCGTGAAAGCCATGCTTTTCCTATCAATGAATGGAACAGTGCCGTTAATTACGATAATGCATTTATCTCGTTTATGATGTACAATAAAATTGTGTGAAATTGTTGAGACTATGTACATTATAAAAAGAAATATAGTCTGTGTCATGCTGGTTAGTTGCCACATAAAGAGTTGACATTAATATTGTGTAAACATGAAAGTGACTCAGAACGTACATTGAAGTTCCTCTGGGAACGCGATTAACGTTACATTTATCCGTAAGAATAGAACAAAAGATTCGAAATTTTTATTGCTATTTTATATCGCTTTGTATCACTTTGTATCGGAGACGTGACGAAAGAAGGAAAAGACGCAAAATGAAAAGGAATTAAATACTTCGACATATCGAAATATCCGTTGACCTTCGAAGCATTTTATAAGAAGAGTATTTTTTCATAGCTCACTGAATAGATGACCAGTGAAACGTAAAAGATTTCATAAAATTGAAGTATTTCATTCAATTAAATTGAAATTACAAAGCAGTGTTATATGACGTTAATTATTTTTGCGAATCTGAGTAAAATTAAAAAATTTTAACGATTAAATAATAAATTAGTACAAAAATAATAATTAGTACGGGAATAATTAGTACAAAAGATAATTTTTACAAATTAAATGTTAAATAATTCTGTCAGCCGCATATGGGTGACACGGCAGTTACAGTGTTACTAGTGTAATTATAACACATTTTTTTAAAAATGGTGCAATTACGATATACTTCATTCATAATATAAATAGTATAAATTTCGTTAATAACATAATTATGATACATATTTTTTTGAAACTGCGCTGAATCGATTTTTACAATTCAAATTATCGCAAAGTCATGTGTATGTGACCGCGGACGTCGAAGTGTTAGGAGAAGATTTCTTTTGCAAAATCAGGTTTGCAATGCAAAGGAGCGAGAAGCTGAAAGAAAGTCGATAATGAAAACTGAATATGCTTTTCCGAGCGAAGGAAGAATTGAAATTTGAATGTGTGGGCAGTTCCGCGGAAAATATAAGACATTAGATAAATATCTGAAGTATCCGAAAAGCCGATATTGAGGCGGCCATCTCTCCGGTCTAAGTCTCTCTTGGCTGACCCATGCGGATATTTCCCCCTTTCCCCCAACTGCTGCCGTTGTATTACAACCTTTTTTTTATCGTTTCTTCAATCCGACAGGACCGTGTCTGAGGACTTCCCGGGGATGGAACAACCGCGGCTCGGTATTACATCGATAAAGTACATCGTCGACGTACAAATGATAACAGTACGATTAGTAGTTACGATGTTGCTAGTTTAATCAATAAATAATATATTACACAAATCTTTTTATTATATATTTGATATTTATAATTTTTACACATATTAATAATTGTGTAGCACAATTTTAATTACCAACCACAAAATAGGCTGCTCACTATTATAATTGCTTGTATAGTTTAACTGCGTATAGCATTGTGTTAAAAGAAACACAATTATCTCAGATGAAGGTCCTTCAATTTTCTTGATTTTCTGTTTTTATTACATTTAATGTTCTGTATCTATTACAAGGTGAAAACATTTGCAATTACAATTACGTTTCAATCCTAATCGCTCTTTAATGATGATTTTTCAAACTAAACTCTTTTATTGAGAGTAAAAAATGAAACGTATTTACGTACATTTTTTATTTATGCTACGTTAGACGATTTAATTTTGAAAACTCTTAATGCTAAAATTTATATTACTATTTTTGACATTCACTGACAAGAAGTCTTTATAAAATACTTTCCACTTGAATAACAGAAATAGCTGTTGTTTTCACGATAAAAATAGATAATAGTGATAATCACTATATATATATAAAAATATATATAAAAATATATATATATTGAATGTCAATATATATATATATATATTATGCCCATATAATTTACTACAGTATGTTCTCCATTTTTGCATTACTTTTACGTCCGCCCCATATCCAGATGCGCGCCGAAACATTTTACATTGCTCATTTTGGAAGATCTGACATTGATTAAACAAAATGGAAACACTTTACATACATAATTAACTATTAATTTCATTATGTTCAAACTTATGAAGCACGTCTTCAATAGTTCGTTGAGATAAAACCATAATTTCAGAAACAAATTTTTGAGTTCGTTTCATGTCTAAATCATGTAATAAAATGTACACAAAGCGGTGCATTTATCAATCCACAAGCTCGTCCGCAACCAAAATTTCAAAATAAATAAATGCAACAACGAAAAATAAAACAGTAGATTTATCCACCCACCGAACAAGGCAAACCTTTATATCCAATCTTGCTCATACCGGTTACCTTCTAACCAGAGTTAACAGACACACTGTCTAAAACGTGGTCAACAATTACATCGCATTGAGAGCCAATATAATTAAATAGATTACCACGGCGAGTATCTTGGACGGAGACCTTTACAATTACAAGTGTTTCAGCAAATCGCGCATTTCATACGCCCTATCAATCGTGAATCAATCGAACCGATAAGAATTCACTCGACGCGTATCCACGTAACCGCGGGCAAGGCTATCCCCACTTCGACTGGCAACATTTAAAAAAGCCTTATCCGCGCAGGACTGCGTCTCGCTCTTTTTCACACGTCCGGTTGGTCCAATGGGGATGATAGGTCACACCCTCGGGAGGGTGCGAGCGGTTTAGCCAGCGCCGGCGCTTAGCCGCCGGCTTATCCAGTAGGGACAAGGACACCGATGTTTCTACCTGTTGATACTAAACCAACCCCTTCGCCGAGATTTTGCAAATCCGGAGTTCTGCGACCGACGATTGGTCACGCCCTCCGCAACCTGTGACCCGCCGATTTTTTCTGCTCCCGTTGTCACCGCTGGATTCGCGGAATGCGAGCTTCGACCGCGGAACGACCGACGCAGTGGTTTCTCTGATCTATCAGTTGCTGAGTATTAAAAAATTGATTATCTGTCGAAATATTTGCAAAAGTTGTATGCTTGTTGTCTATGCCTTGTGCACCGCGGATTTTTTCCGCGCCTTTTGTCACCGCTGGATTCGGAGAATAAGACTTTCGAGCGCGGAGCAACCAAATCAGTGGTTTTTCTAGTCTGCCAGTTTGCAAAGTATTAAAAATTCATTTATCTTGCTTTTTTTTAAAGAGATGGGACTATTCTGATGCTAGCAAACGAGTGCTTAAAATTCATTAGACTTCAGGATTAATTCAATATATTAATTCTATATTATTAAATATTTAATCCTATTTAATTCTATATTATTGAATATTATATTATTAAATTCTATATTATTGGACAAAATTATTAGACCCATTCTCAGTCGCATTCGAATCCTTGAGAGAGAAAAGAACACTGGTAAATTTGATTTTGCCTGTGTTGAAAGAACGCGCGGAATATTAAATGCCGAAAATGGGAATATGGTGATTAAGGTACTCTGTTAAATTGTACTTAATTAGCGAACGCGCAAAGTAACCATTTAGATTGTGATTTCATTTCATGGAAGAAATAAAGAACCAATACACACTTGGTTTGATGTAAAATCCGACAAATGACGTATGACTGAACAGATAATTGTTAAAACATAAAGAAGAAATTCACATTACCATGGTGGTCGCATTGTACTTGTCTGTGTGGGTTTGATTATCGACCCGTATCGATTTCCCATTGCTAACTGTAACGTTTTTATCGATGGCCAGCGCTAAGGTTAGTTCTAATTAAAAGTCGATAAAGTTGCATACTAAAAGAAGAACGAGAAGTATTTTATTGGCGCATAAACTCGATATAGACATACGTACACCTCATCGACGAAAGTTGCAAAAGAAAAATCATTAAGTAAGAATAATATAACGTTGTTCCTTTTATTACCCGTGCAATCTCAATTCTTCGATTGCGAAGTACATAATCTTCAAACGTTGCAATGACTATGGATTGTACTAAAGCTGACTGAATTTTGTGATCGAATTTGAAATCAGCTCGTCAAAATCTACGAGAAGTAAACGTACAATATGTCATTAAAAAATAGTCCAATTGCACATGGTATTGAACAAATCGCAACATGTTATTGGAATATTTTAATTTTAACATGAATCTTCGAGATTAACACGTGAATGCTTTTAGAATGCAAGATTACACGTGCGCTGTGACATTTCAATTTATGAACCACATTATCACTCATTCAATTCTGTACAGCGTTTATTCGTCGAAATTATTGTGCACTTTGATGTAATGGCGACTGGTTCATCGAGTATTTTCATTTGATTTTGTCGTTTCTTCGTGTATTTCAATTTTTAGCCAGCACAACGTGACATTCCGAGCACCCTGACAAAATGTCTCCAATCAAAATTTGGATACCATAATTTGTCCATTAATCAATTTTTACCGAACGTGTTAAAACGTGTCCATTCTATGTATTTTTCTCCTATTCCGCAACGTATCAGCTTCGGCGTAAAAATATCATCGATTGATCTCATTTCTACGAAAAGTTCTTCGATTCCGCCACGGCTTCGTCACTCCGTCCGCCTGCAGACCGTGTTTGAA